TTTGCGTTTGATCAGCTTTATTTATAAAAATGGTACATATATAAATATTCTTAGACATTTTTGCATTTACAAGGCTGAGGATTCTTGTTGTGTTTTTTTGTTTGTTTGTTTGTTTTGTGGGCTGGGGGCGGGAATACGGGATCTTTTGCTCTCTCCTAAGGAGGGGAACCTCACCCCGGGATCTGCAGCTGCTGCCTTGGTCCCCACCGACACAGCTTTTTTTGTTTGCCTTCGAAAATGATAAAAATAAAAAGGAAGAAAACAAAAAGCAGGAGGGAAAAGCAGTTTCTAAGAGCCGATCACCTGATTCGTTGGGAGGCTGAGCGAGCTGGGCGGCCCGCTAATCGCCTCTCCCGGCCGCGGTGCCGCGGTGGCCTTGCTCAGTCCATGTCCACCTCCTCACCATCCGGCGGGCTGGGTCCTGTCGCAGCACCCGGCTCAGCCGCGCCGCTGCTGGCCGGCTCCCGGGCTGGGCTGGGAGCTCCGGGGCCCTGGCCCAGCGACGTTTCGAGGGGTGGGGGCGGCGGGGCCACGGGGCAGGAGGTCCCCGCGTCCGCGCAGTCCCCAGCACCGCTCTCGGTGGCCGCCACGGCTAGGTCCCGGAAAGGCGCGGGAGCCGGTGGCCCGGGGGAGGCAACAGCGTCGGGGCTGCGACGAGCGAAGGCCGGATCGGCGGCGCCACCCGGCCCGGGGAAGGCCCCGAAGCTGGCCTGCGCTGGAGGTGCCGGCGGCGCGGGTGGCGCAGGTGGCGCATCCTTGGGCGCCAACTCCGGGCTGGCGCCGCCCTTGAGCGCAGCCTGTGGCACCAGGAAGCCAAGCGGCTGCGTGATGGGGTACAGCAAGAAGTGGCCCTTGCCGATCAGGGTCCGCGGGGCGCACGGCAGCCCCGGCGCGAAGTCCAGGCCCGCGGTGGCCGCGGCGTTGGCGGGGGTGGCTTTGCGGCGCGGTGGCGAGTCGGACAGAAGGCTCTCCACGCTGAACGGGCTGGCCTTGGGCAGGCCGGCGGTGGCCGCCCCGGGCCCACAAGGGACCGCGTCCTTGTCCGCAGGGCGGCCTAGCCGCGGCTGCGGCCCGGCGCCACTTCTTTGGCTCGGGTAGAAGGCAGGGTCGCAAGTGCCAGGTGCGGGTGGCTCGCCGGGGGCGGCCGGAGCGGAACCCGCGACGCTGGAGCAATGCGCACCCGGGCCCTTGGCCGTGGCAGCAGGCGGTGGCGGTTCGGGTGGCTCTGGGGACAGGCCTCCGCCACCGCTGTCGCTGTCGGAGCTGGGCGCGCTGTGAAGGGACAGGCCTCCGGGCGAGTGCAGGTGACGGCTCTGGCTCTTGAGCAGTTTCTTCTCATGTTTGCGCTTCTTCTTCTCCATCTTTTCCAGTTCCTTGCGCGCGATCTCCTCGGGGTCCATGGGCTCCCCGCTGCAAGTGGTCGGGTGTGAGTTGTGCGCAGGCCGCCCGGGACCCTTCTTGGTGTTTTCCTTCTTTCTCCACTTGGCACGGCGATTTTGGAACCAGACCTAGAGCAGCCGGACAAGGGGAAAGGAAGGCACAATCAGGCTGGCGAGCACACCGCTGCGGCTCCGGGCCTCCCACGCACGCCTGGAGTCAGACCTGCACCGCCTCAGCTCCAGCCAGGGGCGCCCGAGCCAGGCCACGCTCCCCGCCAGCCCTTTAGTTCTGACATTCGGATAGCAGCTTCCAGCCAGCATCTTATCCACCCAGAAGGCGAGTAGACCCGGCCTCTCGGCCAGCTTCCCACTCCAGCTTCACACCTCGGGCCCTAGGGAGCTACCTCTTTCCTCCGGAAAGGCCGGTGGGGCCCATGACCGAGCCCTGTGGAGAGTTCCTGGTCTGGAGACAGGGAGCAGGGACTCGCTTGCCCTTGCTGATTTCTCACAGTTCTAAGGGGACTGGCCTGGAGACCAAGCAGAAACCACTGTGCTGGGCTGGTGGCCCTCCACCCATGTCTTCGCCCGTGAGACTTAGAAAGCCCACATTTTGGGGTGTCCCTTGAAGGGATATCTGGATATTTCTTCCTCTGGAAAGGCCTGTGAAGGTGAACTGCAGTGGGCCTTCAGCAGCCCACCTCCCTCAACACAGCTATGCGCATCCTTCATGCAGAGAGAGGTCTGGACCACAGACTGACAGAGCCTTCCCAAAGCAGGCCTAAGGTGCTGCTAAGTAGACAGGCATGCCAGACTCTGACCACCAGGTCCCCCTGGGAGAGCAGAGACCCTCTTCCTCTGTTCTCTCTTCAGGTCTCTTGTCCTGGACAAGAAGGGAAGGGCTTTCAGGACCCAGCAGATCTAGACCCCAACTGGGCCAAGAACACCACACCCTGGGCCAAATCCCAGGAGCCCTGGGCAGAGCTACCCTCCCCTACAGAACATGGCACTTCAAATTCTTTGTTGTGGCCATATAAAGTTGGTACAATAGCAACCAGGCCAGCCTGGAGGGGTCCTGGTGGTTTGGGGTATTCCAAAGAATAAGTGGAAACCCTCCAAAGGCTAGAACTGCTTTTCTCTTTGTTTGTTTCTCAAAACTTTTTGTGTGCTATACAAATCCCAGGCTGCCCTGCCAACCAAAAATTACTATCACTTTAGAGGAAGAAATGAAGGTATTGTGACTTCACTTAAGACAGAACAAATTGGGTAAAAGGACTTCTAAAGAGAAGAAGCACAGGACAGAAGCATCTTTTAGGTAAAGCTATGGATACTAAACAGGCATCTTGTGAGCATCTGCCTCCATGCCAGGCACCTACCACTGCACAGACCCTAGATAAAAGATGTTTCTGTGTGCTAGGGAAGCATCTAATTAGGCAGAAATTGTTCTAAAATGTTACTACACCAAAGGAAAGCTGTATTTTAAAAAAGAATATCATCACCTGCCTCCAAGGGAAATCAAGTAACAAGGTGGGGGTAAGGTCAGAGGACTTTAAGTGGGGAGTATTAAATTCAGACACCTTTTTTTAAAACCTCTCTACTTTTCCAGAGGGCTAAACATCTAAGTTTCTGCCTCCCCTGCTTGGGCTGTTTTCTTTTCCCCGCCTGTCTACAAAAGGATGGATAAATACATGTTTGTATCTTAATATTTCACAGGTGGGAGGTAAACAGACCTGAGAGAAAGTCTCTGATGAGATCGCCCAGGCTAGGGCCCACTTTGTCTCTGCTGGTCGCCACCAGTAGGGCTCCTCCAAGCCACCAGCGGGGCATCTCTCCAGACCTCCAGACCATGCGCCCTGCAGCCCAAACCACACTCTGCTTCCCGGATCGCGCGCAGTCCCTGAGCTAGCGACTCAGGTGCAACCACCAGCTCTCCCAAGCCCCCTGGGCTTTGCCCAGTTACTCACCTCCAGATCAGCTAGGGGTCCAACCCTCACAGTCCCCAGGCCCCGCCAAGCATCGCTGAGCGTGGAACACCTCCCGCCACTTAGAACAAAGGCGGCCGCGCCTCACAGAGCTTCGCACGCCCAGTGCGGGACAGCGGCATCCGCAGGCGACACCCCGTCTTTACCTGCACTCGGGACTCCACCAGGTCCAGGCGCAGCGCCAGCGCCTCGCGCATGAACACATCGGGGTAGTGACTTTCGTTGAACGCTTTCTCTAGCTCCTCAAGCTGCCAGCCAGTGAAGTTGGTACGGGTGCGTCGCCTCTTGCAGCCGGGGCTCTCCTTGTCTGGGTCCCCCGAGTCTGCGGGCATGCACAGGACGCCAAGAGGCTCAGCCACCCACCCGGGTCCCCAGCTTACACCCTAGTTCTGTGACCCTCGGGTGCGGGGAGCACTGAGGAGCGCGTTGCAACACCTGCTGGGATCCCCAGCTTACACCCTAGTTCTGTGACCCTCGGGTGCTGGGAGCACAGAGGAGCGCGTTGCAACTCCTCGGGTGGGAGCTGCTCCCTGATAGACCCCCGCGGTGCTTCTCTACCCCCGTCATCATCATCATCATCATCATCATCATCATCATCATTATCATCATCACCTGGGGCTGCCTACCTGCAAGCTTGAAGGGCTGGCTGTCCCCGGCCACCCCGCAGGCGGCGGGCAGCAGCGGCGTGGGGTTGACCACCGAGGCGGCGGCGCAGGATCCACTGAGCAGGCCGTCGATGGAGAAGGGCACCGAGGCGGCGGCGGCCGACTGCAGCTGGTGGCCGGCCAGCTCGTACACGTGGTGGGGGCCCAGCGGGTAGGGGAAGCCCACCACGCCGCCCAGCGAGCCCCCGAACTGGGCATGCGGGTGCTCCAGGAGGCGACCGTCCATCATCTCGCGCGGGGGGCCGGCGGGGCGCGGGGGCGCGGGCGGCGGCGGGGACAGGGACCCGGAGCCCTACACATGCTTCGGCCCGCGCTCCGTCGCTTTACTTTATCAACATCAAGCTCTCGATAATTAGCCGCGGCCCGGGGAATTTGGGACCAATAAGAAGCGCTAATCGGCTCTGACGTCAGAGGCGTGCTGGGCGCAAGGAAAGGTTTTCCATATCGATTGCTAATTATACCTGACACGCACCTCTATAAACAGTATCAGGAGCTGTCACAACAAGACGGGGTGGGGAGGGAGGGACGCCGCGATCGGCCGGCCCGGGCCCCCGGCGAGCCCCCCACCTGCCCCCGCCGCCGCTCCCGCCCCTCTGCACATCACTAATAGATTTCCCTTTAAAACACTCGCCGGCGTGTTGTGGGGATTTTTCACCAGAAATGCTGTACTCTCTGAACCTTTAAAGTGATGTTGCTCCAATTACAGAGAGACATTGAGCGGCAAATAGACTGATCCAATAATGGGAGATTCATCATCCGCTCTTTCCGAAACTGTCACATTGAATTTAAAACTACAAGGGCTTCTCCAAGCCTCCTCTCCCCGGCTGCAGGCCGCCTCGAGAGGAGGCAGGAGAGGGAGGAGGAGCAGGAGGAGGAGGAGGA